GGGGGCTGCTGGGGGGCTGCTGGGGGGCTGCTGGGGGGCTGCTGGGGGGCTGCTGGGGGGCTGCTCAGTTGGCTCCCGATGCTGAGCCTCGTATCTTATACCAGGGCAAACACCAGCACAGTGAGAGGTGGGTGAGAAAAGATGGAGCAACTTGCCTCTGTACAAGTCACCCAGTGCTTCAACATAACGTCTTTGGCTCTCTAGCTAAGCTGGTGAGATGGCCCAGCAGCCCCTTCTTGATAGATGACTGATTGTGAACAATGGTGACCTCTGGGCCCTGTGAACATGGTTGTAGCTGGAGCTCCAAAGGTGGTAAAGAAAGTGACATGGACACTTGTGGGAAGGTTGTCCCACCCTGGACATCTCTGAGGGCAGCTGCTCGGGAGGGGTTGGCATGGATTTCACAGAAAATGGCACTCCTTCTTCCTGAAGGATCCCTGGTGCACTCACCATGTCACGGATGATATTCTTTTGTTTCCATCTGTTCAAGTAACATGTCTTCTACGTCATTGAACTGAGGGTGGGGAAGGAGAGAGACAAGAGTGATCAGCCCCAGCCCTGAGAATTCCCCTTCCACTCTGGCTCAGCTTTCTTTAGCCTGGGGCAGCACTGGAACCTGAGTGGGGGAAGGGGGACTAGCCTTCTCCACTGGTCTCAGTCAGTGACTGCCACAGGGGCTCCGTGTGCCCAGGAGTTTGTCTGAGACCTCAGGAGATGGCCTTTTCTATCTCTCTAACCTGCTTTAAAACAAACCAAACCAAAACCACATCTGCAGTTCGTTCCCTTTCCATTAGCTTAGCTTCTGGTGCTGGCATGGAGGGATATAGAGCTAGCCCAGGCTAGCCCCAGGGGGAAAGCAGGACCACTCAGATTACTCCACCCACTCAGTCCCTGGGGTAAGCTGTGCTTGCCTTGATGTGGTACACTATCTCCCAGAGGATGGAGTCACTGCCTCGGTACTTTTTCCCTGGGTAGAGTTGCCACATTAAAGGCAGCTCGTATGCCTCCAGCTCTTTAGGAGTCATAGCAGGCCCCAAGGGGATGCTTTTCTGGCGCAAGAGCACCTGGATTTTTCCATTATTCTGCAGAGGAAGAACAGAATACATCTTCACCTCCTGCTTACCCACAGCCAGGCTCCCCCCGGCAGGACACCCCATGTCCATTCTCTCACTGGCAGCCATGGCTGACCCAATACACTGAGCACAGTTAATGTCCCTGGTTTCAACTCCACAGGCTGCACACAGTCTTAGTGATGCTGACAAGGTTGAGCCATCGTTCAGAGTTACCTTTTTCCAGCCAATCTCCTGTCGATAGGGCCCTCCAGCTTCGCCCCGTGGGTGTGTGGGTAGGGTCGCGCTTGTAGAGCAGAGAGCATAACCTCATGGTGTCCTTTCTTAGACATCATCCACTTTTTCTTTCATTTCTTTGTTTACTTATTTAAGACAAAGTCTGTTATTGGCATGGAGTGTGTGCACATCACACACACACACACACACACACACACACACACACACACACACACAGTACATTGGATGAAGAGTGATTTTGCTCCAGAGATCTGAGTGTATCTGCTTCCTAAGTGCTGGGATCACTAGCAATGTCTACCACACTGGGTTTCTCAACTTGATCTCTGGGAATTGAACTTAAGACCTTATGCTTGCAAGGTAAGCATTTTACCAACTGTAACCCAGCCTTGTCTTGTCGGGGATTTGACTTTGATTTTGTTCCATGCCCTCTTTTCAAAGGAGGTTGTCTGTCTGTGGACCCCTGCAGGAACTTAAATGGAATGCACTGTCTTTTCCCTCAGTGGGTTAAATGAGATGAGGCCCCATGTTTAAAGAGGATGGCATGATACCGTGGAGCAAAAAAAAAAAAAAAATTCCTCTGCCAGTCAGTATTTTCCTAAGATCCATGTATAGTGCTCAAGGTTTTGTCCTGTGTTCAAAGTTGCACGTTGCATATCAACTAACTGCACAGCTCTATGTTGTTCAACTGTGAAAACTCTAGACCAGTCAGAGTAGGACTCAGGACCCCATTTGTCACAACTACACAACCTGCAGAAATACAACTTTCTGTCTTGCTAAGATGCTTGGGATTGTGTGGTCATTTTCTTTTCTTTTTTTTTCTTTCTTTCTTTTTTTTTTTTTTTTTTGGTTTTTTCGAGACAGGGTTTCTCTGTGTAGCTTTGCGCCTCTCCTGGGACTCACTTGGTAGTCCAAGCTGGCCTCAAACTCACAGAGAT